CATTGAACTCTGAACATTAGAATTGAACGACGAAATATTAGAATTTCTTTCGTTTCTCTCGTTTAACGCCAATATTCAAAGTTCATTTCAATAAAATGATGTGCAAACAAGTGTGCAAATGTTTCAAGAACTCGTTCGATCTTCCAAACCATGATATATTTCATTACTGACTGTTACAACGAGACTTGAGTGCCGCGATTATGCTGAAATAAACATCACAGAAACGTGTCGTAGTCAAAAAATTAATTGCAACTTGTTTTACTTGTATCTCAGTGACAATCATTCGTTTCAGGCCCTACGAGGATTAGATCCGCTACTGTAGATCCGCCCACCGTTCATTATCGACCATGTGAGAGAGGAGAAAAAGAAAAAAACAGAACAAGAATTTGACGAAAAGCAGATGTTGCTTTTCACCCGATCAGCATTCACGCCTAAAAGCTTACGCCGTTACGCTTTTAATCGTCGTTCCCAGTGCGCCGCGTTACGATACGAAACGGATTAACCAGATCCGAGGAAAAGAGGTGATTGTCGATGTTTAAGCGAAATCGATGCTTAAACGAGAGCTCGATGCTCCGCCGTGGTTCTGCTCTCCACTAGGAATTACGCGCACGCTTATCTTGTTTTCGACGCGTATCGATCGTGTGGTGATTTTCTCCTCTTTTCTTTCCTTTTCCTCCAGGTTTTTATTTTTTTTCTTTTTTTTTTTTCTTGATAATTGAAAATGTTACTCTTGCGGTTAATACGCCGCAAGAGTATTTCTGTATAGAGTCCAGTATTTTCGTTTCAACGCACTGATTGGAGAGTACAAACGTTTGGAGATTGCAATAGTTGAAGGTTTTATAGGTTGGACGCGATTTTTTTTTGCCGGTAGTGATTTCGTTCTTTGTTTCAGTTTGTTTCAATAATTTGTTTATTGGAACGTCACGATATAGGGAGATATAGAAAGCAATACGCACTACAAATTCCCACCGATATTTTCAACATATGTTTTAGTATTAGTATTTTTTATTATTAGGTATTAGTATTGGTATTTTTTTTTTTCTTATCGCTATTTCAATTTTGACAGAAGGATAAAAAGGTGGAAGAAAAGTTGTAAATGAGTAAAGATTACAAAATTTCTTCTAAATAATGTAACGTGGTTTCGATACACCATACTTGGTGATAAATACGATATTTTTACGCGACGATAAATAAGAAAGATTAAACGAAAAATTGTTGAAACGCTTTTAATATCTGAATGATATTATAATTATAATTATAATTATATAATTTTAATTTCAAAGGAGGGAAAAAAATAGGAAATTGAATGCTTTAAAATTACAAATGAATATTTTGTCATTAAGTAGTTTAAATATTCATGGAACAATAAAATAACAAAAATACTTTGTTACTTTATAAATGTTTATACGAGTAAGTACAGATAAATTTTGTTTGTCATGTCAAAAAGATTCATTCGTATCTCTACGTGTCTAACTAAATTTAAATAATTATATAAATCGTTTATTTATCAAGCAACGAGTAAAAACGATATGGACAAATATTTGTTGTCTTCCTTGTAACGGAAATGTCGATTCATTTTGCTTCATTTCCAGTCCAGGCAAGTTTCTTAATAATAACGAATAAAAATGTTACGAACGAACAATTGTATTATTGTATCAAAACGGTGCATATTCAGCATTTCAACGTGAAAACGCGAATGATTCATTTCAGAGGGAAATATATATGGGAGAATAAATGAATCCATAAAGAAAAGCAATATCGCCGGGATTATCTTCAAATCCTTTTATAGAGGAAATTAACTGTCATTTCTTATCAGTAACGAACGTGTGAAGCTGCGAAATAGAAAAGACATAAAATTAATTAATTTTTGCCGTTGTACTTCCGAAGCGTTCTTCAATTTATCCGAATGTCTATTTTCATCGACGCTAGTGATGATACATTCTAAAATAGTATCTGAGAATGATTTAATTAAATTTTATACAAACCCGAAAATAATTACTATACAAGATAGTTACAAACGTTCAAAACATTTACATTTAAATTTATTGAAGCTTTTTCATAAACATTCTCAGGATTAAATTTTCAGAAAATTAAACTTTCTCCGAAATAATTACGCTGTTTGTATTTGATATACTTCATTTTCTATTCATCTTTCATATTTTTTTACGCATTCTATGTGTAGTCTTCAATTTTCTAAAAATATAAATAACAACAATGGAGATGAATACATAAAAATAAGTCAAAAATGCAAAGTGTGTCCATTCCATAAAATAAATCAAATATCAAAATTACGATAGATTACATTTATCATGTTGATTATTTCACAGAACTGCAATTATAAAAAATAATATCTTTAGTAGTGCTTCTAAAACTCAATTTATGCAACACGATAATCTAGTTTACTACATTAATCATTTTATAAGCAACGACCGAAATTAACATAAAGTAATAAAATGATAACAGATAAGAAACGTTGTACCGCAATAATCCTTCATATGTATTAGACAAAGAATATTATAATAACAATATTATTGATAATAATATGTCTTCGGTAAAACAATATCTATCTAGCATTTGATCCAAGCTGTTAATCAAATTATAAAAGAGGCAGGAATCAAAGTAAGACAGGTATGTAAGTAAGTGGACACAAGTAACGAAAAATGAGTCGAACGCATGATAGCTCGAATCAGAATGTGCAACTATAAAAGTGCAACACTGCAATTGCAAGTCGTTCGCGTACAAAAAAAGTTGGAACACAGAGGAAAACTGCATCGGTCGATCGATGAAAGACCGTGAGTGGCAAATTGGACGTACAAAGCCACATACTATGCCTACTTATGCTGTAGAAAGTAGAAAGAAAAGAATAGTAAACGGTGTACCCTGAAGTTTTGCAGCAAAACGTCAGATTTTCAAAATAAACAGGATTGGACAGTAACGTTTTATTCTGCTTCTTAATCGTGAGCACGCAATTTATTTTTGCATAAGTATTACTGCTATTAATTTTCTAATTAATAGTTGAATGACATTTGTATCTTTAGTTTAAAGAATAATTCAGACGTTAAAATAATTTTGACGTGCTTTCTTAATTAAATCTTTATTAAATCTAAGATATTGGATATTCAATCAAATGAGAAGAGAACAAGTTTTGGCAAAATTGATTCTACCTAACGATATCATAAAAGATATTGAAACTTGATCTTTCCAAGAATAACCAAATGGCAAATTAAAAGATAATCATTCACACTATATATATATATATATATATTAATATCTCAATACTAAAATAATATTCATATACGTTACATAACTTTAATTAATTGCGATTTTAGCTTCGACAAGTGTTTCGTATTCTCCCATAACAATAATTTATTCCAGGTAATATAAATTTATATCGAATATCCATCTGACTCTAAATTACTTTCTCCTTAATATATTCATCAAATAAAGTATGCTCCATCTCGAAATTTTAACACGATTAATAAAGGGAACGAAATATTTCATTTTAATCAACCTGGAAGTAAAAATCCCCGCAAATTTTGTTAACATTTCGAATTGAAATTAAATTAAGACTTTAGCCAACGTAACTTCATGACGTTCGTTAGCTCGAAAATGAATTCTCCGAATCAACGGTATAATTCATGCACAACTCGTGGTCAACGGCGATAGATAGAACCGATGAGGCAATTGGTTCAAAAATAAATCGTCGGCAGCCGTGGCCAACGATTTTACTTAATGCCCCTAATGTATTTCGAAAATGATTTCCGCCTTTTCGAAAATCAGAACATCGCTTTTACTTCGTTGAATGGACAAACAGGGTAAGTTCCTTTATCAATTTACTCCTTTGGAGTTCTCCGAGTAATTTCAGTCGCTTTGGATATACAAAAATTCGTAATTTAGATTGAGATTGTAGGATTGACAGAGACTACAAAAAAAAAAAGGATCAGATAATTACAAATTATTACAAATAGTACCCAGTACTTCACTTTGGATATTTTATATATATTTATACGTATGTTACAGTGTAATATACTAGTACTAAATATGTACATTATAGATAATATTACAACATTATAACTAACTCTGCTTTGGATGTTTTCTATAGATGTATCTACTATATAACTTAGATGTGTCTACTATATAACTTAGGATTGACAGAAACTACAAAAAAAAGCATCACAGATAATTACAAATTATTACAAATAGTACCCAGTACTTCACTTTGGATATTTTCTATATATTTATACGTATATTACAGTGTAATATACTAGTACTAAATATGTACAATATATTTGTAATTTACAATAGAGAATTATAGATAATATTACAACATTATAATTAACTCTGCTTTGGATGTTTTCTATAGATGTATCTACTATATACTATATACGTATATCTACTATATAACTTAGATGTATTTACTATATACTATATACATATATCTACTATATAACTTAGATGTATCTACTATATACTATATACATATATCTACTATAATATTCTGTAGAATATATTATAATATACTAATAGCATATGTATTTTATCTAGCTTTTATAGTATACGTATTGTAGCTAATATGTATTTAAATATATAACTAACTAAATATAATATTATCTGTGCACTTTTGTACTTTCCAATTTTGCCTAAAAAAAAATCCCCAGTTTAATAATAATCCAAGAATTCCCGATTATCGTAGTACCTATATACCTACAATGCCTAAAAGTGGTCCAGCAATCTTATAAAGTAAATCCCTGACGAGGCACCCGATTATTGTTTAACAATAACAATAGAAAAAAAAGACCGTGCAACGGAAAAGACGTAATTCCGGGGCAAAGAATGCGAGAACCGTATCCATCGATCGTCCACAACATTCGACGTACTCGTGAAAACTGTTTAAGCTTCTGTTTATTGGACAGCCATTGGTGCCTAGCGCGGAATCGGAGCGTGCGTTCGACGTTTAAACGATTGCTCGCATCCTTCAGCGAGCAGTATGTATATCCATATGTGCCGCGCGTGTCGTGTCGAATGTACGCGGTTTGCATATCAATACTTTTCGCACGCGTGCGCACCTCTATCTCGGATCTAAATTCGAAGCCGGCTGAGTGAATGGCAGACGACCGCGGGAGGAGCAAACAACGCGCGATCCAGCCAAACGAGAAGGCACGCCACGCGTGCCGGCGGCTTCCGTCAGAATTCGCGCGAAACTTGAGACGCCGGCGACCAAACGGGCTATTTTAACGCGGGCGAACCTCCCCGCGAGCTCATCAGTCGAAGGTCACGCTCGACGAGGAGTAAAAAGAAGAAAAAGAAAGAAAAAAAAAAAAGAAAGCGGGAGGAAAGAAGCTGAACGTGACCGAGGATGAAAGAGTAATTTATTACTAACTATTTTTATATGCGCTAGGGAAAAATAAGCGCGTCGTGGTCTATAGGCACCGAAATAGTCGAGTCAGCTATACAATTTGACATAAATTATTCATTTTCACGTAAACGTGTATTTCTGATAATAATAGAAATATAATAGGAATATTTATTTTATTTTATTTAAAAATATTTGTTGATATTAATATTTTAATATTTTTAATAATAGGAAGACTGGAGTTATACAGGGTGTTCCTAAAAATCGTGGTAACCAACTGGCCAAGATGTGATTCTACGTGAGAAAATAAGTCGAAGGAAATTGTTTATTCGTTAATTATATTACTTGGATTTAGTTGATTCTGGACGTGACTGAAAAGAATAATTAACAGCGCGAAAGTAAGTAAAACATGTACCACGATTTCGGGAGCATATTTGAATAACGATGAAGAATTGTCAATAAACTTTGTGAAAAACAAAATCACTCAGTTCGTTCTTCTTTTTTTCTTAAAGATGTTTTCTACATCATGTAAGTGACAAGTAAGTATTATATTCGAGTATCTTGTAACTTCTATATACATTTTGAGATTTTTTTAAGTATAATCATGATAGTTTCTTCAATTAACGATGAATAATATTGTTTGTAGGAAAAAATTGGTATAAATTGGCCGAAATAACTATAAGGTTGCGAATAACTCTTCCTGATATCGATTTCAAACGATATAAATATCTTACTAAGTGAGTCAAGTGACATACAAATGGTCTTCCGCAATCCGAAGAAAAGGAAATTACAAATTGGCCTCGCTGCTTTGAATTCACAACGCCGACTCAAGTACAATAGTACTTTCAGCTATTTCTAACATACGGAAATATCATCTTCACCATAGATTCTACAAGATTTTTGGATAGAATTCCAAAGAAAAGGATCTACAACTGCTTATTGTTAACTCTATTATATTGTAGATTTTTCTAGCAGTATAACTCAAATAGACGTCGATAAAAATTGTAAAAGTAAACTGGTATTCCACTCTGCATATTTTCTATAATCTAAATTCTACAAGATTTTTGGATAGAATTCCAAAGAACAGCATCTACAACTGCTTATTGTTAGCTCTATTATATTGTAGATTTTTCTGGGAGTATAACTCAAATAGACGTTGATAAAAATTGTAAAAGTAAACTGGTATTCCACTCTGCATATTTTCTATAATCTAAATTCTACAAGATTTTTGGATAGAATTCCAAAGAACAGGATCTACAACTGCTTATTGTTAGCTCTATTATATTGTAGATTTTTCTAGGAGTATAATTCAAATAGACGTCGATAAAAATTGTAAAAGTAAACTGGTATTCCACTCTGCATATTTTCTATGATCTGGATTCTAAAAGATTTTTGGATAGAATTCCAAAGAACAGGATCTACAACTGCTTATTATTAGCTCTATTATATTGTAGATTTTTCTAGGAGTATAACTCAAATAGACGTTGATAAAAATTGTAAAAGTAAACTGGTATTCCACTCTGCATATTTTCCATGTAATATTTCATAATATTTTATATTATATAAAATAATTGGTATATAGAAAAATATATTCTATACAATCTTTCGTCTAAATTAATTAGTTGAAATAAATAAATAACAAGCAGCAGAAAGTAAAATTTATACAACAAAATCAAGAAGTTAATGTAAGAAGCAAATATTGTAAAAAATACCATGAAATAAAAAATTATTTCACTCGAGATAGTCAAATAGTCAAGCAACTTCCAGATAAATCATTTACTTGTCAAACAAACTTCTTGTTTCAAAATAACATCGATAAAATAACCATTTTCTAAATAATTCATTCAACAAACAGCTCCTAGCATCCCTTAAGGATGAAGAAAACGTTAACGTTAAAAGTTACCACTCTCAAAATTTCCCACCCTCGCCTATGAAAACACGTCATACAATCATCCTCGAATGTGACACAAATTATTCACAATTTCAAGTGGCACTAAAAAAAAAAAAACATTCTTCGTATCGCGCTTACCAATTACTCTCTCTCTCTCTCTCTCTCGTGTATCCAGAGAAGTTTCGAGGCAATTGGGCCAATTCACCGGGTATACTCTCGCGTCACAGCACGAATCCAATCAGCTGGGATTTTCTCGGTCACTCGCACGATCTTAAACCAGGATTTTCACGAACGATCTTCACGGAGACGAACGACGACGACGTTCTTGATGTCGATAGCGCCGAGACGGTTGGTTCACTGCGACCGGCCAGTGCCTAGGACAATATTAGAATCGTCGATCTGCAAGCGTCTCTCCCACCCTCTTGAAATCATCCGCGTCTTTGCCGATGTTCCGACGCGCTTCGTCTGTTCGTCTCTTTCCCACTTTGCAGCTTCCTTCTCGTGTCGGCCTTTTTACAGACGACTGTCCTCTTTCCGCCACTCTTCCATCGGCTCACGCATTTTTAATTCGATGTTTGATTGTACTTCGCCGGTGGCTGGTTACGTGCACTTCAGGTAAAATTCGATCGATCTCAATGTCAATGTGACGTATTATCGCGTTTCCACGGTTCGATTCTTGGAATTACACTGCTCACAAAAGTTAGGGGATATTTCAAAATGAATCTGAAGCATTTGATCTTGCTTGATAAAAAAAAAAAAAAATCAAATGCTTCTTGCAATGTAAATACCCCCTAATTTTTGTGAGCAGTATAATTACTTCGACGCTCAAAGTATTGTAGTTCGATAAAATGAAGATACAGTATTGGTTTCTTCGCAATAATTTTGCAAAAATAAATGATACATCGACAAAATCTGTTAAATGGTTCACCACACGCAAAAGTAACAAGTTACAAGTAATATAAAAATCCCAGAATTAAGAAAATATTACCACACTTGTGATTACGCCTTGATTTAGTCCTTAATTTATGGAACTTTTGATTTTAGTTTGACTTGTCATCGTTCGGAGCAACCATAATGATTAAATTTAGAAATTTCCTCGGAATTTTTTAGAAACCACGACTCCACGAACATGGCAAACAATTCAATATATTTTGTTCGTATGTTTTAAAAATTCTGAAAAGAATAATTCGCACGCCGCTAATTGATCAGCGCAGTACACTTTTATGTTTTTTAAATTTTCCATAAACGAGTCTAGTTATAGCTTTTGTTACAAAGTTTGATCGTGGATGTGTAATTGAAAAGGCACGTTCGAACTGCTTAAATAATGGTTCGAGGCGAAAGTAAATGTGTATGATGTTCTGTGTGCGGTGATTCGTGATACATTCATTGTTTATTCATCTGTATGTGGAGCAAGGTAATTGGATTCACACATTCGTTGATCTTTTGCTGCAGGCATAATTAAATTACAAAGTAACTGAACCACGTAATTAATTTTACAAGATATATTCGAACGGGAATAGAATGTAGGGTGTATCTATATTTACTCTGATTATTGAACGATAAGAGGAGAAGCTGTCTTTCATTTTAATAACTTCTATTTTTAATTCTAAGTTTGATATTAATGGTATAAAACAAAAGTGAGAAACCTGTTTTCGAAAATAATTCCCGATTTTTTAAAATAGAACTGAATGACTAAATTTCTGATTTCTTTTTCAAACTCGTAACAGAAATGAGATTAACAGATCATTTCATAATGAAGCAACGAAGCATGATCACAATTACAATATTTAGGAAAAAAAAAGGAGATTTAGAATTATTTAAATGTTATAGATGTTAATTTATTAAAAAAAAAAAAAACTACGTAATATGATTGATGATTTCTAAATGACATATTTTACGATCATTAAAGAAATCGAGGAAAAAGAAATTTGTGCAAACTCATATTTTCATGAACGTCATTCAAGAGACAGGATTTAAATAGAGATTTACTTCACATCTAAAAATGCCATAAGCAATACTTAGATATTCTGTGTATTTCCGTATCTTGCCAATCTTCAAATTTAAATTTAAATTTAATGTTTTAGATGTAAATTTCCCATAAATATTTTATAATCTCCATAATTCCTACATTCCTCTGTTCCTGTAATTCTGCTATTACTATGCGAGCAAATTTCATTTGCAGAAAGAAGCAATATTCGTTACATTCCACTGAATCGAGTATCAAACTACGTGCTCCGGGAAACATTACATTGAATTACAACTTATACTGCAGACATTGTCTTACTCCGCTAAATTACTAGATAACAATTACAATTTCTCAACGGTGTCTTGCTGGAAAATGCATATCAAGAACTTCTAATAAGCATTCAAGGAGGACAAAGTTACCGATAGAACGTCGCGTATGATTCACCGAACGGAATTATGAATGAAGAATCCTCTGAGCATATCGTAGGGTTTACCACGTCTACGATATTCCAACTATATGTAACATGTAATACCTACGTACATACGTTCCTACGAGCCATAATTAGAGCAAAGTATCTCGATCCTTTAATACTGAAGTTCAGCTTCAGCCATTAAATAACACAATTAATAAGGTCTGTGTGTAATTGCATTACGTTTCGGAGTGACGTATTTATTGTGACTATCACTGTATACAAGCATCACGCGTAATTATAAATGCACGATGTTCCACGTGAAACGAACATTGAAAACCTGAATATAATCTATATTGGTGATGGGAATTTTAATTTAAGGATGCATAATCGGAGAGATGGATACGTAGAAAGCACATGAAGGTTAAGCTTCATTTCTTTAATCACGTAAATTTATGTAACAACACGTAATTTTTAACAAATTAATTAGTTTGTGTAATAAAAAAGAATATTAAGCTATTTACATCACCGCTCAGGAATGTCAAAACAAGTGTTGTTCTGAAAAAATGAAACAACACTACATGTAACAAATAGTATTATAACATATAATATATACTTGTATATACTTGTATTGCAATAATATTTAATAATTATAAAGTATACAAGCAATTTTTCAATTTTGTTATCTATGATGACTATTGAATAGTAAAAGCAAAACTTAATACTTCTGTACTTCTGTAAATGATTATGTAAATATAATGTATGATATTATACTAAAATTGGCAATATATTGATAGACAATACTTTTTACAAAATAGAAAATATTATATTATCATATAAAATATTATTATTATCATATAATATATATTGTTATTATAATATTATTATATTATGTTACTATTGTAATATTACATATTTCTTATTACTGTATATTAATAAACAGCATTTATCCACATTAATAATTAATTAAAATCCACAACAAAGAAGCTTCAAGTAATATTAATTATTTCGCGTTTCCTTGCTTTCGTAAAAGAAAGAAATATTATTATCAGAAGCAGCCACCTTTTACGAACCGAAGATTATTACAATTCCGCCGCGAGAGTGCATCAAAAATACATTTGAGAAAATTACGATACGATTTTTCACGTGGTAACTCGGTGAAACGAGTTTCCTTCTCATCGGTAGACTGCTCGCAGGCTAAAGTTACTTTAAGCATTCATCTACCGACAACGTCTTCTGGCATTTTGCCACTAATTCTAGGCCCCGTCGTGGATTACGCGCTCGCTCGAAGGTAAAGATAAAAATTCGGAAATAAGGCAAACAATTTCAAGCAGGCTCCGTTGTGTAAAAAAGTACCAGGCGTAAGCCCTCGCTTTTACTCAATGTGAAAAGCACGATCGAAACTTTTGCGAACAGATTTTCAAATAGCTGAGAGCTGCAGCTTCGGGAGCGATTTGTACCTGGTCTGTTTAGCAAATGAATTAACTCCTCTATTTTACGGAACACGGTGCTACGAAACTTTGCTGTTATCAATGCATGCCGGCGAACTTTTTTTAGTTAATCAATCTATCAAGCGTTAGTCGAAACTTCTTTCCTTCAATTACACGTAGTAAATAAGTAAATTAATTAATAAGTTTTAATTTTACATATTATACGCGCGATACACTTTCCAATTTCACGCGTCGGAATAAGCAAGCCGAGCCTAATAAAAATAAAAATTAAACGCACTCTCGATATTTATATTNTATATTTATATTTATATTTATATTTATATTTATATTTATATTTATATTTATATTTATATTTATATTTATATTTATGTTTATGTTTATGTTTATGTTTATGTTTATGTTTATGTTTATGTTTATGTTTATGTTTATGTTTATGTTTATGTTTATGTTTATGTTTATGTTTATGTTTATATTTATATTTATATTTATATTTATATTTATATTTATATTTATATTTATATTTATATTTATATATATTTATATTTGACCAAATTTATTTAGAATGTAAGAATTCCCTAAAGAGAGATTCGCAAAAGGACAATATGCATCTGAGTGACAACATATCTGTCTAAACGCACAAATCGCTCGGACGCTATTATACTTCTACAGATTTTCTTACGTACAAAGTCTCGCGCGCAAACGCTCGGACGTACATAACTGTCCGATCGAACACACCGCGGAATTATGATGCGAAACCGTGAAAATTTCCAGTGACCTCGTGATGTACATACGTGATTAGGGAATAACAGTAACTCTCG